ATATATGGATAATTATTATTTATTCTCATAATAATTAATGATCTTGCTGGTTACACTCTCAGATAGCGTGTTATCATACTATAGAGATGGTAATCCATATGATTCCATCTTCCATGTACTTAATTATCATTGTCATTAATACCCTCGAGTGTTGTATTCTTTCGATTATTTATTTATTATGAATTTAATAAAGGCAATATTTTCATGCCCATTTTTCTTATCATACAAGCAACGAAGATATATTTTTTACGATTGGAAGATATAGTTTACGAGCGTGTGACCACACGTGCTTCATACGCGTGAAGAGGAGATCTTGCAACCAATATTCCACATTTTGAATTTACAATAATCAGTATTACCTTTCTGAGATCAATCAGAAAAGGTAGGAGGTAATAAAAGACAATTGGGCAGATAAAATTACAAAATATAAAACATAAAAGAGAAACGGACTAATGGAATGGGGCCGAAAGGGTACTAATTGTTATTGTAACCAATAAGCTATAACGGCAAGAGGACTAACAGCCAAGAAACTATAGTGAAACGCAGGCTTTCTTGTGGTCAAGTGTAGTGAACAGAAAGGTGCGATATATTCCTTTGCAATAACGTGCAAGATTCTCTCAGTTCCAATACAAATTATAAGTAAGTTGTGTCCCAATTTACGTGAGGCATTTTTCAGTTAATAGACTGATATTTGCTGAAGTAGATGACTTAAGATAACTGATCCTGTTTTTTGCATTCAGCTTTCTTAACAAAGAGAAAACAAAACTAAGAATTTATTGCAATAAAATAAAAATGTACCAAAATACATATTTGTCCAAGTGATTTAAAAAGTCTCCAAACAGACAAACATAAGAACATATTTCACCGTTGTTAGCAAGTTTATTGTCATTATATTTGAAATAATCTCGTTCTTCATTAATAGAAAAGAAAAATGTACTCTGGAACTATTCATATTTGAAAGTTTTAAATTATTTAGATCCAACGTGCGAAATTACACAATTAAAAGCAACAAGTCACTCTTCAATTGTTTCTAAATTATTAGATCAAACAATTCAATTTATCCTAATTTTAAATATCACAATCAATAATTAAAGCAATAAAGATACCAAAGATGATTACGGAGAAAACCCAACGGGTAAAAACTCCATGCACTTTACCAGTCAATTATCCACTATAAATCGAAATAACTTGCAGTACGGTCCAAACTCGTCTACCCCGTAGAACTTCTGACTTCAATTCCTGTTGTCTCTCTTAATCCTACTGGAGGTGCACTCCTTCAAAATAAATCTCGACTTCAGTTTATATCTTAACCCTTCTAGACTGCGTGCTCGTGACGCCGATCTAAACTCCTTGTATCTCACATTAGTCCTCCTGAACTTGTGATTCTACAACAACTCCAGATCCTCGATATCGATTTATCTTCGATGGTTTGGTGTTCGATCAAAAGATTTTGTGTGTTTTGTTCTGTGGTTTAATACGAAACAATATAGCTTGATCGACAAAATATGATTTGAAAGAATTTATGGATCAAGTAATATGTGGTGGTTGAATCATGGAATCAACGAATGTTTTATATCATCAAAGAATTGATCTCTATAGAATAAATCTAATTTAACACACTTTTGGATGTTCATAGGATATGATATATATAGGGAAAAGTGTTTGGGATGAAAAGGGGTTGAAAAACCAAGTGTTTGAAGCAAAACAAATTTCTGAACATCGACCCATCGTTTGAGCGCCAAGCTATGACAGTCGAGCAGAATCGTTATTATTTTTATCATAACTTTCTCTCCCAATATCCAATTGAGATGATTCAAAATATGTTGGAAAGTTAACTCAAATGGATACAATTATTTTAGAAATAATGTTGTCCAAATTTTAATGTTTTCTATGTGAATATGCGTTGCAAGTTACGACTAAGAATTTGAAACATAACTTGTACGTCTCTTTGACACTCTTTAAACTTTTAAGTGCATTCATCATATATGATCTTCTTAGATATCTTGGACTCCTTCAAAACCTTTACTACCAATCCGACTCTTTTGACTTTAATTAGGATTCAATAAATCATATTTTGACTTTAATTACAACTCGATAAACTCCTAATACAATTCAACTAAGACTTGATTTTGACTAAGGTTATTGCCAATTACAAATTTAGAAATTGTCAATTATAATTTGTACTTAACAATCTTCACAATTAGAGTGAGAAACTATCTTTATAATTGTCTCCATATAGTAAATCCCTTGGCACCTTAATTGCGCCTTTCTTCTTTCAATATGTCCTTAATGTTCTACTTGATTTTGCATATCTTTCAACTCCCAATGAGTTTATTATGGAGAATAATACCTAATCTTGAGGATGTTGGGAAATTATTTAATTT